GGTTATCGCTCAAAGTGAATGCAAACACTATTTTCCAACGCCTCGTCTCATCCGAAAGAATCTCGAGCAGTCGAAAATTCCCATCGTGGGAGAGACATGGGTTTGAGGAGAGGATGTGTTCTATGCGAATGGTAAGAGGCAGATGACCAGAGCAGGCGAGCAAAACTGGAGTAGAGAGGGAAAGAATGGCGTGAGTGGCTTGACAAGTCGTCCGGGAAGCTTGACCTTGATGCGGGACCAAATCTCTGGCGTTAAATGTGCAACGTCTCGCCAATGGTGGCATACTCAAGTGAAGAGTAAGGGCGAGCTAGCAAGATGTGCTGACATGGTGGCTGTCCCAAATGAGAAGATACTAGGATAGCCTGGTACATCGTCAGTGGCGAACGAGAATACGACCTGTAGAAGTTCTACTGGCAGCCAGTGAATAATATCTGAGTGTGTAGTCCAAAGCCTGTTCAGTCTGCAGATTGATACAAGAGATATTCGAATGAGAAAATGATAATACATCAACCGATACTTTTGCTTCATCGCAAGGCAAAAAGCAGAAGTGTCACTTGACGGAGATTCAAAATAGGAGATCATTCTCCTGAGAGCGTCGGATCACATGTCACACGCGACTGGTGTCATCGCATTGTGGTAGAGATGATGGAATTCCACCGCAAGACACCCATCTGTTTCAAATTAATCAGTACACCTCGAGTTGTGTTTTCAAGGGATTCATAGCTGGGGACAAGGGCACTAGCTTCAGTTCTTTCAGAGGAACTCATATTCATGGACAGCATCAAGATGCGCGAGTGTTTTGACGGAGTAGCATAGTGCTGGGTGTGATGGTGCATGACGGCATGAAATATGTGAAAAAAGACTACACAGGACCCTCCGACGACAGCCCTTACTCTGCGTCTACAACAGCGGTTTGGAGGCCCTAGGTGAAAAAGGTTGTTGTTGAGGACATGAAAAATAGTAGAGAAAGTGTGCACACCTTGAACTGAGGTCACAACTACATGGCTGGCATACGTGTAAAGTTTCTCCTTGGCGCCCTCCTCATCATTACGCTTGCCTGTGAAAAATAGATCATCAGCATTACGAATCAAATTGAAAATATAGCACGTACGCTCAAGCTTCACTCTTATCCGGTGGGGAACGCTCTTAACACCCCGAGCCCACAATGCCTGGTTAAGCTTGGGGTCCACCCGAACATCGGTTGTGCCCATCGACTTGCGGGCGAAATCGACGACGGATTTTACGGCCCAAGGGGCACGCTTTTTGAAGGAGCGGCCATGCACGAGCTTGTGCAGATGGATGGTGTATTCACGAGTTACAACGTCTTGAAGAGCGGAGCGCTTGCCGCCAGTCTATGATATGATGGTAAAGATCTACCACGGGCGAAGGTTATGATGCAACATACTTTGCCGCTTTTTGTCCTTGCCTACAAAGGGTTCGAATCAGCTACTCGGAGGGTAAAAAATATGTAACTTACCATGTCTTGAGGATGTATAGTGTGACGAGCTCGTCTAGCTGGAACTGCAGATGTCGCGCTGACTTTGGTTGTGTTTGGTTACTGTGGTGATGACATAAGGTTTAAGTGGCTGAGGTACTTGATAGTTTCTCGGTTATATCCGAGCCACGTGATTGCAATGATTCGGAAGCATTTAACATGCAGATTGAGAGCCGAAAATAGCACAACCTTTATGTCTGGATTCACATGTTGCCTTTGTTCCCTTGTATGTTTTGTTACCATGTACAAGTTCTTATAATCTTATATATAAAGTCTCTTAAGCCTTCGAACCCCCTTGTCCATCTTGTCGTCTTCCTTCACACTCTTTAATTCGATTCACAATGCGTTTTGCCTGTTGTCGTTCTTGCTCTTTCCGTCGCTGTCTCGTCCACGTTTGCGGCATTGCTCACACGTCAAAGCCTGCCCAGTATGCCATATTTTTGCTTTGTCGTCTTACTACAGTATCTCACAGCTATCAGATTGTGCTCTTTCATGCATGTCAAATGCTGACTATGGCGACTGTGCTTCCACCGACGACAGCTGTCTTTGCCACAGCCAGGCTTTCATCAACAGCTACCACGTCCTGTATTCAGGAAACGTGCACGGGGTCTGACCTCACAAATGCCGAAGCAGCTTCCCAATCGCTTTGTGCTGCAGTGGTATGGTGTAGATCCTTGTTTTGAACTGTGTGCTAAAGTGCATGATGCAGGGTGTCACATTGACCACTAGCAGCGCTACTGCAACGGCTACTCAATCATCCAATGGTACCACTACCACGGCCACGCCTTCGTCAGTCTTTGTATTATTTGCCGTGATAAAAAAGTTGAATGAAAACCAGGTCTTCCAACGCTGCATCTTCGCATACTATTAACATATTCACTGGTGCAGCAGCCTTTGCCATCCTAGCAGCATCGTTATGATGAGACTGCGAGTCATCTCACTATCATTATTCTTTCGCATTCTTTGCCCATTAGGACTTGATAATTCTTGTCACGGCGTTTCGAAGGTTGACGTTGAGCATTAACTCACGATTACCTTCGATTTTTTGCATACGGTTCGATAAAGGAGGGATTTATGGAATTATATAGCCATCTATGTAGTTGAAACTGCGTCATTTGTCTACTTGGACGGCATTTTAGGCAATTTATTTGAACTTGTGTGCGCAAGCGCCCAGTCTTGCTCGCCTCCGACTCAATTTGAAGTTGAATTTGCATGCTTCAGACCGTCATCGATTCCACCAAGCTCCAAGGCTGGCCTTCTTCTGCAGATCACAAGAAATTGCCGCCAAGCCTACACCCCTTTTCACTGGCTGTATCGGACGATTGACCCCATTGATCTGTGCGTCTAACATTCCAAGGTCGCACTTTACCGTCTATCTCCTACACCCACCATGCAACCAAACACATTTTGGTTGCAGTTGAAACGAAAACCAACTCCTTTGGCACTTGTGGTTGGGCTGTTACTTGGCTTGCTAATTGGAAAGACGTTTCCAACAAGTGTATGTCTGTCTATCCTTTGACCGTCTTACTATCATGACAATGTGCGATTATTTTATAGCTCTTGTCAACGGGCGGGAACAACCCCATATTCGTGTCTCGCTTGTCTGCTCGCAAGCAGATAACCTTACCCAGCATTGATCAACGTCGTCGTGTCCTAGACCTACTCTCCACGCTGTCTCCGCACCATACCACAGAGTGCACACGAAATTCCCAGCCACTTTACGTTCAGCAGGTCCGAGACCGTTATGCCTCTCTCATAGGACACAAAACTCCCTCTGAATCTACCTGGTTCTCTTCGTGGGGGTTTTCCGACTCGCAACACGTACACAACGTTCCCAAGGAAGAGCACAAATATTTCTTCGCCATCAACTTGTACAACTCCTTCGATGTCATTCCTGACTTATTTGCGACTCTTTTTCGGGTTTCTGCTATTTTGGGGTATCACAACGTCTATGTCTCTATATACGAAAATGGCTCGACAGATCAGACGAAGGCACTGCTACGGATATTTGACGCACTGACTCGTAGCGTAGGCCTACGTGTCACCATTCGAACTTCTACACGTACACGAGGTGCCTTCAACCATCGTATAGAGTACCTTGCAGAGGTCCGCAATCAGGCTTTTAACCCACTCCACGAGCTTCGCGACTCGCATAACGAGTACTTCGACACCATCATATTTATGAACGATATCCTCCCATGCGTGGACGACCTGCTCGAGCTTATCTGGCAGAGCCGGCGAAATAATGCAGGTATAACTTGTGCTTCTGACTATATGTATCATCAAGAGCTAGTAAGTCCCGCTATCGCATTCACATCCTGGGCTCATGCCCACTTTTGTATATAGTCCACGCCCGTGTTTTACGATAATTGGGTCGCTCGGGATATCAACGGAACGGCACTGGAAAACGCTCCATTCGAAAACGTCTTCCACGATCCCTACTCCTCCGAGCGTTTCCAGATGCACCTTCCCATACAAGTCCAGTCGTGTTGGAATGGCGTTGCAGTCCTGGACCCCGCTCCATTTTATACACCCCCGTATATCAAATTCCGTATGGCTCGACTCACAGAAGAGGAGTGTTCTGCTTCAGAGTGTAGTTTGATCTGCAATGATTACTGGGAGGCTGGATATGGGCGTATCTTGATGGTGCCGCGGGTGAAGCTTGCGTATGATAAAGTATGCTTTCCGTTGAAGTGGGATCTGATATCTGATTGATCATCGGTTTTTACAGAGAGTATTTGATATCATACATCCTTCAAGACGGAACCTTACTGCTATCCGAGGTTATGTGCGTCTTGGGGGACTTCCGGACAATCCACGGACAGATCCACAGGACAGGTCGTGGTTTGGACCTCATGACCGTTTGTTCACGCCGGAGGAAAGCGAAGAGATAGATTTTGTACCTGGGCCTTCGCATGGTACGTGCTACACTCTTTATTCTATTCCTCGACTCATGAGGTATACAGTATGGTGTTGGGGCTGGGACGGTGCAGGTGATATAGACGGTCCCGATGTAGATCCCATCTGGGAGCGCATGCCCGACCGTTCTCAGCATGTGGATTCTGTGAAGGTGAAGCATCACAGGGAGATGAGCGAGCTATGATGCGTTCGGACATTCGGACATGACAATGATAATATGAACTGCATCCGAGTAGCATAATTTGTTAATTGCGTCAAGCTTATTTGGTTTGCATGATGTATCCCTACGGAGGCATGTGCGCTAGAGATGCTATACGATTCTGTGGAATTTCAAAGGTGCTTCTCCCCACTGCAGTTAGCTTGCTAGTTAGTGGTCATGACCTTGCCTGATCTAAGTAGAACACCAGATGTCACCCCATAAGTTTAGCTTCAGTCAATCTTAAGCCACGGGAGTGAAATTCGATCACGCTAATGTCAGATGGCAAACTTGATTCCAGCAAAATATTCAGGGCAGGCCCATCAGGGGGCAATTGTCCCTAGATAGAGTAGCCTGTTTGAAACGTTATGCAAGCTGCATCGGTGTGGAGGGCACTTGGCACAGTTGGTAGCGCGCACGCTTCGCATAAAGATTGCGTGAGGTCGTGGGTTCAACTCCCACAGTGTCCATTATTTTTTCTCCGTCCCTAATAACGTTGAATTACGCGGAGTTAAGCATCTTTGCTTCGTATTTCGGCAGCCTCGACGGTACTTTTCTCTTTTTTGTCTCGACGGTTTTATGCAACGACGCTCAGGCTCTGGAAAGGGTTTGGCGCGCATCTCCCCTCCCAATCATCGATTGACAGGCATGGGCCCAGATGCTACTAAACACATGAACAGGTGGAACCAAAGGGTACTAGGCGTCACCAATAGAATATGGGCCATCATCCTCGGATTCGTCCTACTCATCGCGCTCTCGCGGATTATATCCTTTTCAACTCATACGAACGCTGGATCATTTACAACAGAAGGCCTCGTACCCAAGAATTACTTGCATGAGGCGAACTACCTTATCGGCAATTCATCCGAGGCTGCAAACCCGTTTGACTTTTGTCCTGTGTTCGGGCCTGGGGATGATATTGCGAAGAAGTATGGATTAGTGCCGTTGGCGCAGAGCCGGTTGCATTTGGGGAGTGGAGGGAGGGTGCATCGAGTCATTCATAAAGCGCTATTGGGTCAACCTGTGACTATTAGTGTGCTTGGTGGTTCTGGTGCGTGTTCTTTATGTCGTAAAACAGCTTATCTTGATGGTGTAATTGTGTAGTATCTGCTTGTCATGCAGCAGGAGATGATCCATTGTCTTCCAGATGCTATCCTTCGCGCTTTTTCCAGTGGTGGTCGAGCGTTTTCCCTCACCCTGCTTCAGAGCTCACCAACGGTGCTATGAGGCGAACAAATTCAGGCTACTTTGGATTCTGTAGTTCGCATCATATCCCAGAATACACTGACTTGGTGATACTCGAATTTGACGTCGACGATGAAGGGTACGCACAGTCCTCTAGTTGACATGTCATATGGTGTCTAAATTCTTTCCAGCTCCCAGCGTGCGATGGAACATTTCGAGTTGCTGGTTCGCTCAATATTGGACCGCCCTGATCAACCTGCAGTCGTCATTCTGGGGCATTTCAGTGCACAAACACACCAGACATATGGTTTTGCAGGACCCGATCACTGGCACAATGTTGTCGCACAGTTCTATGACGTGCCGCATATTAGGTACAATCTCATCGCCTGTCAATAGAATCATTTCTGACGCCCATGTAAAGCATCAAACCTATACTATATCCATCTTACATGTCAAACCCTGAGCTCATCAAGCCTTACTTTGCGGACCCCATTCTTGCGACTCCGACAGGCCACGAACTTCTCACCGACGTTCTCGTATCGTACTTCCAATCTCAGATATGTTCCGCGTGGTCAACGGCTGGTGGCCACTCGTACGAGACCATTCCTATCTTAATGTCACATGGCTACCTCCCAGGTGCGGATACGCATCTCTTTGGCGGCATCGGCGCAAGGAAAGGTGCTGCGGTGCCTGAACCACCACGTCCGGTAGATGACGGTGCAGAAGCCGAGAAGAAACACGCACTAGCTCTTGCCCAAGCAGAATCCCAGCCTGTACCAATCTACCCCGAATTGCGAATTCCTCCCGTTCGAATCAATACGCGTCCTAGAGAGCCGCGGCCATTTGAAGAGGTAGCGCCATTCTGTGCGTCTGCTAACGACCTCGTGAACCCCTGTACCTCCGTCGCTTTTCTACGGGTCTGGTTGGGCGGCAGCGCATCCTCCTGCAGGATCCTCTCCTTTGCTTACGGCTGGATATTATTGGTATAGCTCGCTGCCCACAAGCAGATTGCGCGTACCTATCAAAGTAGGCGCTGGAGATGTCGGGATTTATTTCTTGAGGGAGCCTATGAGCCGGATTGGGGAAGGAAGTGAGATTGAATGTTGGGTGGATGATAATTTTGGAGGTGCAGTGATCATAGAAAATGCAGGAGACGTTAGCGATGGGGTACCAACGTGAGTGTCCTGCTTTCTCTTCTTCGTATGCGGTCATTAATGGATCATCAAGTCTTGCGGTGATTGATCAATTTGTCACGAGAGGATCGCACTTTATAGAGTGCGTGCTACTTGGAGAGGAGGGGCAAAGTGTCCCTCCTTTCAAGATTATTGGCGTATTCGCGACTTAGAACATCGTCAAAAATGAGGCATAATAATGGACATACCTATGGACGCTAATGCTGGTGTTGCTAGATGGTAGCGATTAGCAGCTACCTATCATCGGAGACCTCAAGATGATTGTACTATTGAACACTGACAATCCGGCTGACGAGCTTTGTTAATATAATTGAGGAGATCACTGGTGGCAGTCTGCTTTGAATTTGTGTTTCTAATACAGTAAGTAGGGTGCCTATGTTCGAAGCCATGCCGTCTTCGCGATCTTCTTTAATCTCTTCTGTTCCTTGAACCGCTCCTGTAAAATGAAAATCAACACGCGATATGAACGGAATCGATGTCTGATCTTACCAGGTCTTTCTTCGTCGGACGTTTTCTCTTCTTGCCTTCTCCCTCAGCCTCGGCCTCAATCTCAGCCTTGTTGCGAGCCTCAACATCCCTCTCCCAAGCACCAACGTCAAAGTAAAACTCGCTCATGCGCTTAGCACGCTCATACTCTGACAAGTGGGTAGGATCGCGACTATCCACCTTCGCAAAAGCTCCAGTCCTCGAGTTGAACTTTGCGGTGTACATAAAATTGCTAGGAACACCAGACGAGGAAGCAAGGGACGGATCGAGATGGGCTAAGGATGGATCAATACCCTGTGCCATCGCGTTTGCTTGCAGCGCTGCGTAGTGAGAATCTATTGATGTGGAAGGGCCAGATTGGGAGGTGGAAGACAAGGAAGGTTCTGATTCAGAGGTAGCAGGTTGAAGAGGGTTTACCCAAGTCGTTTCTTTAGTTTCCGAGTTGTAGAAATAATAGGTGTTGTGCTGAGGAGACCATATAGCTTGCCACGATCCCGCTGTTGGGAGGGAAGCATGAGCAGTTGTGGTGTCCTGGTCTGTATCTGAAGGTTCAGCAGACTCCTCTGGGGAGGTTGACTCGCCAGTGGACTCGGGTGTCGCCTCCGTGCGCTGTTCAACCTTCTCTTTATCTTCCGCCTCCGTAGGACTAGCTGAACGAGAAGCCGACATGAGAGTTGGAGATCAAAGTCAGGTGAGAGTTAATAATGTCGGGATATCTGGAGAAATATACGATTAGCTAATGTAAATTCTGTAAAGGGGATTCGTCAAAGGTTCGTTGAGGAAAAAAAAAAGGAATCCAAAGTCACGTGACCGACGGTTGGAATTCTGCATTGTGCTGACGCGTGCACCTAACTTAGGGTTCGGGACGCAAGTTGGCTGCGTTTTTTGGTGTTTCGACCAATCACGACCCAGGACGGAATTAGCTACAAGTACTACTAGCGTAATTGTAAAATGAAGAATCCTCAGGTTTTGACAGCTATCAACGTACTGCAACTTGAAATGTCAATTAATAATATTGGCAGACTCCTCAAGTGTTGACAGCGATCAATGTACTGCAACTAATTTGAATTAAAATAATATCATTATCTACCAGGTACCTAGTAATCTGTGTGTCATGCTTTGTACAAGGCGGAAGCACCAAAAAAATAACAATGGTTGCGGGTGCATCCGAACCCAGGGAGGGAGCCTGCCCGAAAGTTTGAAATTTACAAAATTTACAAAATTTACTGTGTATTTCTCCTTCTTCCGCACTTTACTCACTTTACCCTGCCAAAACCACACTTAACAGCACTTTACATTGACTTGACACGTCATACATTTACACTCTAGTTTACCCTCTTCTCTTTCTCTTGTCTCCCTCCCACTCATCCTGCACGGTTACCATAAATGGGTGGCTTAGGTACGTTGATCACGTGACTCTACTTCTTCACTCCATGCGCAGTGCTGCAGGCCTGTGGACGACAACAACGCTTCCCTTGGATGAGAGGTATTTTAGTCATACTTTCTTTTGTGATTCTTGCTCATATTTTACAGAGCTTCAGAACTTCATGTGCACTCGCACTCGCACTATTCATCCCACCCACCCAGCAGCGGCTCTGCCCTACTCACATCTCATCAGCCACTTTGTGCAAGAATTCAAGCGCAAGCACAAGAAGGGTAAGTAATTTTCTTGTTTAACAGTTCAGGCGCTGACAATGTTTTAGATACCTCCTCCAACCTTTATGCTCTCCATCGTCTATGGACTGCTTGTGAGCATGCCAAGCGCACCCTTTCATCAGCAACCCAGACTTCCATCGAGATTGACTCCCTCTTTGAGGGCATTGACTTTTATACTTCCCTCACTCATGCCCGTTTCAAGGAGCTGTGCATGGACCTGTTCCGCAGCATGCTCGAGTCTGTCGAGAAGGTCCTCCGGGACTCTAAGATCGACAAGGCTAACGTTCATGAAATCGTCCTTATTGGCGGTTCCACGCATATCCTCCGCATTGTCAAACTCATGTCTGACTTCTTCAACAGCAAGGAGCCCAACAAGAGCATCAACCCTGACAAGGCTGTTGCATATGGTGCTGCCATTCTTTCCGGTGACGTCTCCAAGAAGACCCAGGACCTCTTGCTTCCCGATGTCGCTCCTCTATTGCTTGGTATTGAGACTGCCGGTATTCCTCCCACACCTCATGGTGTTCCTCAGATTGAGGTCACCTTCGACATCGACACTAATGGTATCCTGAACATCTCTGCATCTGACAAAACTACCGGCAAGTCAAATCGCATCACTATTACCAACGACAAGGGTCATTTGTCTGCAGAGGAGATCAAGTGCATGGTTAGCGAGGCTGAGAAATACAAAGGTACGTTTCAACTCTTCTATACTATTTACATGCATAAATATTAATTGACCTTGCTATCTTGCAGCTGAGGATGAGGCTGCCACTGCTCACATTCAGGCCAAGAACGGCCTTGAGTCATATGCATACAACCTCTGCAATTCCATCACTAACAAGAGCAAGTCTGGTGTCAGGACTTCGGCGTTTGGCAGCATTCAGCTGATGCTGACATCATCTGGCCCCTCTTTCGCTGGCCCCCTTTTGAGAATTTCTGGACCTTCA